TCCAGCCACTCTGCCCCAAGCCTGTAGTGTTACAAGGCACAACCCAAACTCCAACCTCTCCCCACAACCTTCTGCCAGAGCTTAAATCCTTCTGGAAGCGTTATAAAAGGAAGCCACCACAATAAAGCTCATCTTCCCCAACCTACAGAGCAAGCAGGGGTGGGATGAAACCTCTCCTTACCTTCCCGAAGCTGCCCACCATCTCCTGCACCAAGGACCTCATGGGTGCGATGTAAATGATCTTGAAATCATCCACGTTGATGGTTCCATCAATATTGATGTGTTTTCCTATTTCTCTCAACATGCACATGAGCGCCACGTTGGTTTTCCCAGCACCCTAGAACGTAAGGAGAACCAGCCCCATCAAATCTGTGTCTTCTCCAAGGTAAAGGTTCATCTTCAGCAGCCAGTTTTTGTTCCACCCAAACAGATGATCCTGCTGGATTCCCCAGCACAGAGGGACTCTTACCGTGGGAGCACACAGCAGCAGGTTCTCATCTGACTCCAAGGCAGCGCGGTAGAGTTTACTCTGAATACGGTTCAGGGTTTTAAACCCCTCGAATCCAGCCTGGGCATATTTGGGTAACTTCTCCACAGAAACTAATTGCTGAAAAGAAAAAACATCAAGCTCAATAGTTTTGTCTCAGTACCTCACAGGCTGCAGGGCATATGTGAGATCTCAGAGACACCCTGGGGAGTTACAGGGTCATGTTGTCTCCAGATGGCCAGAAAACAAGCCCCGTGCTCAGGGATTGAGGAGCAGGTTTGGAAGAGATCAAACAAAGCTCATGAGCTGGCCTGTGCACTCCCACAGCGCAACTCCTAGTTGGCTACACCATCAGGAAAGCAAATCCCCACCATGTTCTCATGATGGGACAGATCAGACCACATTTCCGCTGCGAAGGCTGATCTAAAGATGTGATTTATGACAAGGCATGTCATGAATCAGGCAGATCTCTGGCCCACGCTGCACATCACTGCAAGGAGGGGGCAAAACCAGAGCTGAGGGCTCAGCAAAGCTGTTAAATGGTGGAAGGGAGCCCCAAGACAAAAAACAGCAGCACAGGATACACGCTCCAGAAGTGAGAAACCAGAAATCAGGAACTCTCTTGAGCCAAGTGAAATCTCCTAACTTAAAATAGTGGTTCTTCAAGAAATCTGAGAGGGTGTCGCAGCCACATCAAAGCCTGGTGAGTTCCAAGAAGTATCTGTCACGATATGAGCAACAACTCCTAGAATCACAGAATGGTTTGCGTTGGAAGGGACCTTTAAAGGTCATTTTGTCTTTAAAACACCTCCAGAGATGGTGACTCCACCAAACAGCCTGTTCCAGCGCTTGACAACCCTTTTAGTGAAGGAATTTTTCCTCAGATCCAATCTAAACCTCCCCCAGAGCAACTGGAGGTCATTTCCTCTTGTCCTGTCCCTTGGGCCCTGGTTGAACAGACCCACCCCCACCTCTCTCCACCCTCCTCCAAGGGACTTGCACAGAGCCACAAGGTCTCCCCTCAGCCTCCTTTTCTCCAGGCTCAGCACCCCCAGTTCCCTCAGCCACAAGGGAACTCAGCACACTTGTGCTCCAGACCCTTCCCCAGCTCCGTTCCCTTCTCTGGACACGCTCCAGCACCTCCATGTCCTTCTTGGAGTCAGGGGCCCAACACTGAACCCAGCACTCGAGCTGCAGCCTCACCAGTGATTCCCAGTACTATTGCTGATCCAGGCCAGGATGTTGTTGGCCTTCTTGGCCACCTGGGCACACTTGTGGCTCATGTTCAGCCAGGAGGAAAACATTCCCCCTGACTGAATACTCAGAGGGACACCACTCCTCACTGAGCTCCATCTGGACATCGAGCACTGACCACGACTCTCTGGATGTGACCATCCAGCTGATTCCTCATCCACTGAACAGCCCAACCATCAGATCCATCTCTCTCCAATTTCGAGAGCAGGATGTTGTGGGGACTGTGCCAAAAGCCTCAGAGAAAACCAGACAGATGACATCTGTCACCTGGTCACTCAACACACCTAGAAACACATCAGGAAAGCAAATCCCCACCATGTTCTCATGATGGGACAGATCAGATCACATTTCCACTGCGAGGGCTGATCTAAAGATGTGATTTATCACAAGGCTGACAAGATGACATCTGTCACTTGGTCACTCAACACACCTAGTGCTAGAGACGGGGGAACACAGCAGGTCACCTACCTCTTCAGAGCCAAAAGGCTTTGGCTTGAGGGCAGGCACGTGCACCTCCTCATAGCCCTTGCGTTGTCTGCGGAAAGAGCCGTCGGGGAGCTGGCAGCGCTTGTTGGCCATGAAGTGACTGCCTTGGGCAAACACCAGATCCTCCAAATCCAGCACCTGCCGGGGAGCCAGTGCCTGGAACCAGCAATGGGAAAGGGGAAAGGATTAAAGAACAACCCTCTCCTGCCATGTGCATCCTGGCACTGAAGGAAAAGCAACGTATCCAAGCGGCAAACGCCTCTTTAGCACGTCAGGGGCTTGTTCTTGGCATGTTCCTGCCTGTGCCACTTCAAAATCCTCTTCTTGCTCTTACTGAGGATGTTTGTCAAAAAGGTTATGAACAGTTGACTTCAAAGAGTTTTACCTCTCCTCCTTGGTCCAGATCCATGGTCTCCAGGTCAGTATCCATCCGGGACTGACGAACACGTTCCCGGCGAGAGCGTTCCTCCTGCGCAGAGAGACGGGAATTCAGCCCCACGAGCTGCCATTTCTTTCCACCACAGGCATTCACGTAACCAAAGCCAATGATTTTTGGCAGCAGAAACCAGTTCTCCCCAAGGCCAAGACACATAAACTTGCCTTTCAGGAGAGCACATGAAATGAAGCAGGGAGTGAAGACACACAAACCTGCAGTGGCCCAGCAAAAGCCCAGCCTGCTGCACGCCAGCAGCATCCCTCAAACACAGAGATGCCAAACTGGCCCCTCACATCAACATAACCAGGGGGTTTTTATAGCAACAAAGCAGGAATATGGTATTAATTCCCCCCAAAAACAATCCTCAAATCAGTCATGGGACTGCTACCATCCAAAGTCCAAGCAGAGCTAACCCTGCACACCAAGAAACCTGTCGAGTGTCCGGTTCCAAGCCCAGGTAATTAGGAGGTGATCAGAGGTGAGCGGGGTGTTTTATTGTGGTGCACCTCACAACAAGGAGGCCCAGAGGTGAAACGGTGCCACGACAGGACAGTTACACCAGCGTAAAAATGTGCAAACACTGACATTTTCCTGGGAAAGCAGACATGTGAATGACTCCAAAATAAGAAGTGGTAAATAAATATATCACCCTCTCAGCTGAGTCTCAGCCGTCACCTAAGCAACCTCTCCTATGGTTTCTGGATCCCAGCTGAGTCAGCAGGTTCCTCTCTCACAAACAAACAAACACAGCCCAGCAGCGACCGCAGACGGCAGCAGGGATCCCACAATTCCTCCTCTCATCTAGGTTCCCTCCAGCCTTACCCGGATGAGATCCTCCTTCTCTGTCTCGTGCAGCTGATACAAGAACTTTGACAGCTCGGGATCCGCTTCCATCTTCCCCATTATCCTTTCTTTTTCAGCTTCACTTTGTGCACTGGCCAGTAAAGTGCAGTACAGGACTGGTGAGAGAATTAAAGGATGGCAGGTGGGGTTACAGGTTGAATTAAAAAGAAAGGAGCAAATAACAAGGGTCAAAGGTTCACAAAGCAACAGTGATGGCAGGGAAAAAGATAAAAAGCCTGGAGTTGTGCTAGAAACACACCAGGACAGCAGGGAAACAAGGTGGGATGGTTAAAGGGAATGTCACTCACTCATCATCCGGTGCTGCCGCAAGACTTTAATGAAGTCGAAGGTGTTAAAGCCCAGGAGCAGAACGAGCTGGTTCTCACATTCCCGGTCATCACTGGCAGTCTGGGAGGAGGAGAAATGAGGAATGAGCAGTGACCTCTGTGTCCCACAGAACAAGAATCCCTGTTTCACACAGAACTGACCTCGAGTGGAGCTACACAGCAGCTACACACAGAGCAGGGACTCGATTCAGACCGCAGATAAACATCCCATCCTCTCCACTCCCCTTCTTCCCCAGAGAGTCACCACATCCAGCGTCCATGAGCATCAGCAAGTGACTCCAGGTGAAGAAAATAACATCTCTGCATCTTCCAGGTTGGTGGTTTTTAGGCTGTAGCCCGGTGCTCACACCACCAAAACATTTTCCATGCTAAAATATTCCCAATACTGTTGAATTTCACCCCATTTCTAGCACTAAAGACCCAATTTACGATGATGTCCCTGCAAACGCCGACAAAATCCCAATCACCTTCCCCTCAGAAGGGTTTTTAGAAGGAAAACCTTAGAAGAAACCTTCCCCTTAGAAGAAGATTCCTCTGTGAATTAAGATTAAGCCCAACCTAGTCCAGCTTATCTGTCTTGTTGGCAACATGACACATCCACAATTGCTTTAATTAAAAAAACACAACATAGGTAATGAGTTATTGGGGCAAATTCCTGTCTTCCAGAGAGAGGTATTCCGAGACATTCCTGCAGATCAAGTGGCCACTGACCTTCAGGATCTCCAGCACTTCATCTGCCTTCTTTTGGGAAACAATGGCATCATCGTAGAAGCGGCTCAGCTGCCGCTGAAGCCAAAAGGCGTCGATGTCTCGAGGATGTAGATCCTTCTTCTTCGAACTCATCAGCTCACCCGATGCCACAAGCTGAAGAAAATCACACAAAAAATGTTACCTTTCCATGAGAGGAAAGCAGGAACCTGGCCTTTGGGTGGTGAGGAGAGGAGAACAGTTCTCAGTCCTCTGGCAGAGGAGCAGAGAACCAGCAGATGCAACTATGCAGCTGCCAGACCTGTTGATTTTATTAATATTCATTTTGGCCCCCATCAAACAACAGCTTTAAGGCTCCTCTCCGCTCACAAACAACCTTAACTCCATCCATAGACCAAGAGGATCCCCAAATCCTTCCCAACCCTCCTCCAGACGACCCCCAAAACCACGTTTCAGGTGTTCCTCAGTGACTCACGTTGGCTGAGAGGGTGCAACGCACAACGGCTTCGTCTCCCTCCATGTCATCGTCGGACGCCTCGTCACGCACTTCGCCGTAAATGTCCTCGTCACCTTCCTGTCCAAAGAAGAGTTCCAGTAAGTGGCTTTCACAAATATCAAATAAATAAATAAAGAGCTTTTCCTCAACAGAAATTAATGATTTAGCAACTCGTTTCTGAGGAGAAACAGCCGGGTTTGTGCTTTTAACAGGAACACAAGGCTGCTGTTCAGGTAAAGAACCACGTGCTAAGATTATTTCTACTCTACAGAGAGGTTTTGCCAACGACTCCTCCAACAACCTCCTATTTCTCTCTCTTCTCATTCTCTCAGCCCCTTCCAAAAAACAATCCCAGGGAGTATTTCTCTGCAACAAGCACATTTGAATGTCTCTCTTCCTCCGGATCTGTCAAGTTTCCCCAGGAGATTTAAATATCACCATCTGTTTCCCATCATACTGACTCATGAAAAACCTTGGGATTAGCAGGATCATCAACAAATCCTCCCCAAGGCAGGAAGCAACATCTAAAATAATCCTGTTTGGTTTCTCCTTCCTGGCAGAGACACCCCAGCCCGAGCCAGTGCCCAATTCCTGGCGTGACTGAGTAAAACGGGACAAGCACAGTCCCTGTGGAGCAGCTCAGAGTGAGGGGACAGGGCAGAGACCCCGCTGCCACCCTGCAGCCTCTCATCTCCTACCTCCTCATCGGACTCAAACTGCACGTTGACCCCGTACGTCTCATCAATGTTGTCATCTGCAAAGGAGAGAGAGAGAGGAGTTAATTCAGCTGAAAAACATAAATCTGGCTGCCACATGGCAAGTTCAGAGATCCACACGCCCGCCCACACCTCTGCACATCCAAAAGATGAAGGAGAACGTGGGTTTGGGGCTTGAAAATCATCCAAACGTTGTTCTGGCTTCTCAATGTGCAAACACTGCCCTGGAACACGGCCGAGTTTGGCACCAGGAACCCAAAACTCTGCCAGTCCCCTCCCTAAAGCTTCAGCCCACGATAACGCCTTCCCCCCTTACCCATGTTCTGGATTTCTTTGTCTCCACCATAATCCGTGATCTTCTTCCCCAGGTTGACCAGCACGTGGTAACGGGTGTCATCGGTCTGTCCCAGCAGCAGGTCGATCTCTTTCCTCCTTTCCTTATCCCGCAACTTCTCGTTCTTCAGCACTGCCAGGACCTCGTCAGCGGCTCCGCAGAGGATGTCACGCGGCTGAGGAAGGGATAACGGGATGCAATTCGTTATGTGAAGGGTTTGGGGTCAGTCCCTCCTATTTCTGAACCCTCATAAAGGCACCAAAAAGGGCAAATCCTACAACAAAGGTGTCATCACAACATCCCCGAGCCCAAATCCAGCACCAATGGAGCAAACCCATCCCGTGGGATTAAGGGAAGGGTTAAAACATCCAAGGGCAGGATCTTAAGAGAATCACAGAATGTTGGGGATTGGAAGGGACCTCGAAAGATCACCCAGTCCAACCCCCCTGCCAGAGCAGGAACCTCAATGAGATCACACAGGAAGGTGTCCAGGCGGGTCTTGAATGTCTCCAGAGAAGGAGACTCCACCCCCTCCCTGGGCAGCCTGTCCCAGGGCTCTGGCACCCTCACTGGAAAGAAGTTTCTTCTCAAGTTGAAGCAGAACCTCCTGTGTTCCAGCTCACACCCATTGCTCCTTGTCCTACCATTGGGCATCACTGAGAAGAGCCTGGCTCCATCCTCCTGACATTCACCCTTTACATATTGATAAACATTAATGAGGTCACCCCTCAGTCTCCTCTTCTCCAAGCTAAAGAGCCCCAGCTCCCTCAGCCTTTCCTCAGCAGGGAGATGCTCCACTCCCTTCATCATCCAGGCTGTGAATCCTCTGCTGGAGCAGAGACACCCACCCTGAGGCATCCCCCCCATCCTCACCTGGTCCCCAAGAGCCGCTTGGATGAAGCTGAGCAGCACCTCGTAGGTCTCGCGGGTCTCCTTGGTTTTGGGTTTGTAGATGATGCCCACCATCTCGTCGATGCCCTCGGACAGCAGGGTGTAACCCTTCATCTTGTTGATGTCGTGCCTGTCCTCGTCACGCTTCCTCCTCCTGGAAAAAGAGAGGGCAGGGGGGAGAGCGCCTGGGTCAGCACCGCGGGAGAGTCCTGCTCCTGCTACTTCAAGTAGAATTATTCTCTTTAATTGAAAAATAAAGGAGAAAAAAAGATATTTTTAAACTTTTCACTTTGATTTTACTTTTTTGACAGAAAACAACAGACTCCAAATGAAGAAAATAACATCTGTGTCTTGCAGGCCGGTGGTTTTTAAGCTGCAGCCTTGTGCCCACACCACCAAAACACTTTCCACAATGTCCCAGTTTGTAGCTGGG